CTCTCTCTCTCTCTCTCTCTCTCTCTCTCTCTCTCTCTCTCTCTCTCTCAAAAATCCTCTTTTATTATAAAATTTTATTTTGGGCAATCGTCTTCATCTGAGAAGAAGCTCTATACTCTCGCCCGAGTACAGGAGGTCGGCCATTTCCGGGGGTGTTTACCGCTAGGGGAGAGGAGATCATCTGCGTCAGGGCGATAGGCGGGTCCTTAATCTTCTAGGGTAGTGCATTGATTTGTGCGACTGCTACCTGATTAGGCTAGTTTTTTGTTAAATTTATTTTTTGGATTTATATGCATGCTAATAATTTATATTTTGACAGCAGAATTCACCCTCAAGAGTCACAATGATATAAATTGGTTCTCTCTAAATTGGGGTGAAACCTAGGGGAGAAGAATTCCCGCAATTTATAAGAACATAAATCAAATCATCAAAAAGTGCAGCTAAAATTTCGGATTTCTATTATCCAATTAGAACATTAAGTTTTAGACATTCATTTTGACGTATTAATTGTACTGCAAACAAGTAAGATCGAGGCCTTCAAATAAGTCAAGAGGCCAAAGAGAAAAAAAAAACATTCCATTTTAAAAATTACAAGAAACTGGAAATTTTATTTAACTTTGTTCCTAAATTCCCATCATTGATCGAAAAACAAATCTGTCATATACATTTACATTCTTACAAGATTAGTGGAGGCAAAAAAATAAAAAAGAAAGAAAGAAAAAGAAAAAAATGAATGAAGAAATGAATATGAGATTAATAGAGTTCCAACATAAAGAGGTGATGCCTCTTTCAGATTTAGTGGGGCCCAGTTAAAATCTAGTTATATCAAATTGAATATAGTATTAATTATTTGGATCACAGGATCGAGCCCGCGCTACATGGGCCATCCGGGAGTGAAAATTTATGTTTTGACGGTTAGTTTTCTGAGGGTTTGTAGTTGTCCACATGAGGAATTGACTTTTATTAGATAATTAAAATAATGTCTTTGTTTTCTTAAAAAATAAAAATAGTATCTTTGCAACTAACCTTAAAAAAAATTTAAGATTCTTAATGCCCTATTTGAATTGGGGGGAACAGTGGACAAGGAAATGTAGGGAACACGATTCACCCCACTTTCATAACTTATTAATGGGTGCAATGTTCCGATTATAGTTCCGCTTATACTTCCCTGAATTCACCCTCAAGAGTCGCAACGATATAAAATTGGTTCTCTCCAAATCGGGGTGAAACCTAGGGGAGAAGAATTCCCGCAATTTATAAGAACATAAATCAAATCATCAAAAAGTGCAGCTAAAATTTCGGATTTCCATTATTCAATCAGAACATTAAGTTTTAGACATTCATTTTGACGTATTAATTGTACTGCAAACAAGTAAGATCGAGGCCTTCAAATAAGTCAAGAGGCCAAAGAGAAAAAAAAAACATTCCATTTTAAAAATTACAAGAAACTGGAAATTTTATTTAACTTTGTTCCTAAATTCCCATCATTGATCGAAAAACAAATCTGTCATATACATTTACATTCTTACAAGATTAGTGGAGGCAAAAAAATAAAAAAGAAAGAAAGAAAAAGAAAAAAATGAATGAAGAAATGAATATGAGATTAATAGAGTTCCAACATAAAGAGGTGATGCCTCTTTCAGATTTAGTGGGGCCCAGTTAAAATCTAGTTATATCAAATTGAATATAGTATTAATTATTTGGATCACAGGATCGAGCCCGCGCTACATGGGCCATCCGGGAGTGAAAATTTATGTTTTGACGGTTAGTTTTCTGAGGGTTTGTAGTTGTCCACATGAGGAATTGACTTTTATTAGATAATTAAAATAATGTCTTTGTTTTCTTAAAAAATAAAAATAGTATCTTTGCAACTAACCTTAAAAAAAATTTAAGATTCTTAATGCCCTATTTGAATTGGGGGGAACAGTGGACAAGGAAATGTAGGGAACACGATTCACCCCACTTTCATAACTTATTAATGGGTGCAATGTTCCGATTATAGTTCCGCTTATACTTCCCTGAATTCACCCTCAAGAGTCGCAACGATATAAAATTGGTTCTCTCCAAATCGGGGTGAAACCTAGGGGAGAAGAATTCCCGCAATTTATAAGAACATAAATCAAATCATCAAAAAGTGCAGCTACGCAATTTATAAGAACATAAATCAAATCATCAAAAAGTGCAGCTAAAATTTCGGATTTCCATTATTCAATCAGAACATTAAGTTTTAGACATTCATTTTGACGTATTAATTGTACTGCAAACAAGTAAGAGGCCTTCAAATAAGTCAAGAGACCAAAGTGAAAAAACATTCCACTTTAAAAAATTACAAGAAACTGAAAATTTTATTTAACTTTGTTTTTAAACTCCCATCATTGATCGAAAAACAAATCTGTCATATACACATTTACATTCTTACAATTTTAGTGGAGGAAAAAAAGAAAAAGAAAAAGAAAAAAAGAAAAAAAAAGAAAAAAAAAAGAATGAAGAAATGAATATGAGATTAATAGAGTAGCCAACATTCATCAAAGAAATGTTTGTATTGTTATGCATCGAATACATTGTCAAATGAATATTTAGGAGATGAATAAGGGGAGCTGACTATATTACTCCTCGGCGAACCTTTATCTGTTTGGCTCTGATCATCTTCGATATCAATCATCTCTGTTTCCTCAATTGAATGGAAAATAGGGTGCAAGTATGCATCAGCCAAATAGTCTTTAAGATTAATGCTGGGTTCAGTGGCTTTTTCTTTAATGTCTTTATCCATTGCTTCCTGTAAATTCACACACACAAAATGAAATGAAAAAAATGATGGAAGATTCATTCTATATATGGTAATGTTTACGCTTAAAAAGAAGGGTAAAAATTGCACAAACCCCCTGAATCAGAGGAAGCTTCCTTAAACTTTATAAATAAGAGAAGCCCCCGTCTCCCCCCAAACCCCCAAAAACTGTCAGCGTTCTGCAGTAAACTCCCAATAACTTTTAAAATCGCACTAAACCCCCAATCACTTTTTGGAATTGTAGATAACCCGCAATAAATTTATGCGTTTTGTAGATAACACTCGTAGATTAGAAACAAAAAACAACATAAAAGGCATTTTGAAAGTTATTGGGGGTTTACTCCAATAACATTGAAAGTTCTTTGGGGTTTAGAGTAATTTATCCTTTCTAAAATTCTACTAATCCTGTGAAGCAGCAAAAATTCTCAATTAGTGTTAAAGGGTAGAGTAGTAACTTTGAAGTATGACAAATCAAAACTTCTGAAGGAAATTATGAATGACGAACATTAATGTGAGAGAACAAGACTAACCACCAGATCACATATTTTGACATTTTACTTGACGCGCATTAATATTGTATGTTACCACCATCTGTTGGTTTTAGAGAATACAACTCTCTACACAAAGGTAACTTTTATTTATAGAATATTAGAGAGTACAACACTTGTTCTTACAAGAACACCTCACTTTCACACTACTTTTATTTTGGTGGATACTCACACAAGCCTACACTACACACTCAAGCTCTCAAGCTCACTTCTTGCTTGCTTACACAAATGAGAGCCCAAAACCCCTATATATAGTTGCTTAAGAGAGCTAGGAAGTGTGTGGAAGAATCAATCATAGCCATACATTAGTAAGAAGTTTCTAGAAAAATAAATACTAGTCATACACATGTATCTTCCTAGAAAGTTATTGATAGATATTTTGTAGGATATTTCTAGAAAAAAGTTCTAGAAAATTATTCTGGAGCAATCTAAGTTGGTGAGGAATTCTAACACTCCCCCTCATCACCAACTTTATTCGCTCTTGCAATCATCCTAAGTCAATCTCGAAATTCTGTAAACTTAGAAGGAATCAAGCTCTTGGTGAAAATGTCCGCTATTTGCTCTTTGCTCTTGATTGGTTGCATCTGTATTTCTCTTTGTAGCACCTTTTCTCTTATGTAGTGATGATGGATCACTATGTGCTTTGTTCTCGCATGAAAAACTAAATTCTCTGCCAACCGAATAGCTGATTGATTGTCGCAATGGAGAGGTACCGAATAGGTCGACTAGCTGTTGCTTTGTACTCCGCCTCGGTAGTTGAAAGCGACACTGTCGATTGTCTTTTGCTACACTAAGATACTTCTCCTGATCCAAGACTAAATACATACCCAGTTGTTGATCGACGAGTGTCATGATCTCTAACGAAATCCGCAATGTCCAATGACTTTCAGTAATTCTCCTTTCCTGTATAGTATTCTAAAGTCAAGTGTTCCTTTTACATACATCAATATTCGTCGAATTACTCCTAAATGAGGTTTTGTCAGCTTTTACATAAACGGGCTTACTACTCCAACTCCAAATGAGATGTCAGGCCTTGTAATAGTTAGATAGATTAGACTGCCTAACAATTGTCTGTATGTAGTCAAATTCACCAACTCTTTACTTTTTTCTGCACAAACTCTTGCATTCAGCTCCATAGGCGTTGTGATTGACTTGCACTCTAGCATCCCAAATTTCTGCAAGAGATCTTTTGCATACTTGTGTTGGTGCAAGAACATCCCTTCTTCTATTCGTTCAACCTCAAGCCTAAGAAAGTGTTTGAGTTCTCCAAGTTCTTTTATTTGAAATCGTTCTGCCAAATTCTCTCTAATTCGATGAATTTCTAGTTCATCATCTCCAGTGATGATAAGGTCACCTACGTACACTAGAACTATTGTTAGTCTCCCTTCTTCAAATTTTACGAACATGCTTGAATCTGCTGGTGTTAGTGCATATCCATTATGCACCAACAATTCTGTTATCTTAATATACCATGCTCGTGGAGCTTGTTTTAGTCCATAGAGCTTTTCTCAACTTACAGACGTATTCTGAATGTTCAAGATTTTTAAAGCCTTCTAGTTGCTCCATGTATATATCTCAATCTAGCTCTCCATGTATAAGGCATTCTTCACATCCATCTACCATAACTTCCATGACTTATTTGCTGCCAAGGCTAGAAGGATACGTATTGTAGTTATTTTAGCTATTGGACTAAACGTCTCATCATAGTCCAGTCCATACTGTTGTGAGAATCCATGAGCTGCCAGTCAGGCCTTATATCTTTCGATATACCCATCTGGACAAGTCTTTACTTTATAAACCCATTTACATGATATAAGCTTCACATCTTTAGGTTTCAGCATTAAGTCTTATTTTTGGTTCTGCAATAGAGTTGCTACCTCTTCTTCCATTGCCTTTCTCCATCCAACGCTCTTAGTTGCTTTTTAAAAGGTTGTTGACTCTTTAAAACTATCTACTTCAGCAAGAGCTGCATTGGCGTACCTGGGATTTGACTTCTTCTGTTTGCTCGATCTTCTATGTTGTTGTGGCTCATCTTCAATTTCTTCCATTTGATTTGGTCGAGATTCCTCAGGTGATTCATGTACTCCTATCCTCCATGAGTTTATAGAAGAACTAGGTTGTATGAAATCTTCTAGAGTGACTTGTTGCTCTGGGGCTTCTGTACTTAGTGAATTATTATTTTCTTGTCCTTCCTTCTGTAGTTTCTCTTGTAACTTGACTTCTAAATTTTTAGAGTCTAACAGATTACCTCTTGAGACCACCAAGATGATGCTTCATCGAAGACAACGTTGCGTGAAATGTAGCATTTATCAGTTCTAGGATCACAACACTTCCATACCTTTTCTCATAGTAATAGCTGATGAGAATGCATCGCAATGCTTTCTTATCAAACTTGGCATGCAAGGGATTCGGTACGAGTACATAGCATATGCATCAGAAGACTTTTAAATGGCTTTACAGCTAGCTTGAGATTCTGTAGCTTCTGAAAGGGTGAAATAAATCTGAGCCTTGCTTGTAGTAGTCGATTTGTAATACACACTGCCGTCTTCATGCATTCCGCTCAGAAGCGACTAGGCACGTCCTTTGCATGCATCAGGTTTCGACATGTTTATGCAAGATGCCGATTCTTTCTTTCTGCCACACTGTTTTGTTGTAGAGTCCCCGAGTAAGGCACTGTTTGGCAACCAAAAAAAGTGTCTTGTCTAAGAGTTTGTGTCTTATTGACTTGGTCAATAAGCTAGTAGAGCTGTTTGGTGACCAAAAATAGGAGGAGATTATTTTGGAGATTGTGTCTTTTGCAAGTAGCTTTTGAAAAGCTATCTCAAGTATCGTTTGTCTTTGGGAAAGAGCTGTCAATTTTTTGCTTCCGTTTTTGCCCCTAATAATTCTAATTTTATATCAATAATATTACATGATCTTTTTAGTCATTTAACAAATTTAAGCTAGTTGTACAGCTTCTTTTGTCAAATAGCTCTAGTCAATCAGCTAGCTACACAGCTATCAGCTTTCAGCTACAATTTCACAGCTTTCAGCTAGCTTGACAGCTTTCAGCTATAATCTCGCAGCTTTCAGCTAGTTTTGCCAAACAGAGCCTAACGAGTAAGTCAACTGTTGTCGACTTTTATAATCTCTAAGGTAGTCATAGAAATCTCTCAATGTGAACTCACCTCTATTATCGGTGTGCAGGCACTTGATCTTCTTATCAACTTCACTTTTTATCTTCTCCTTAAACTTCTTAAACTTTTCTAATGTCTCAGACTTTTCTTTCATAAAGTCCACCCAGACATACCTGGAGAAGTCGTCGATGAAGGTTACCATGTATCGACATCCACTTATTGATGGTTGTTTGACTGCACCGAAAACATCCGAATAAATCAGCTCCAATAGTTCTTTTGCTCTATACTTGGACTCCTTATAGGGTATTTGATGTGTCTTACCATATTGACATCCAGCACAAATGGTATCTTCACGAATCTTTATATGAGGAAGATCCTTGAGCATTGACCGCCGCATCATTATCTTTAATTTGTGGTAGCTAACATGCCCTAGTATTGCGTGTCACGGGTCTTTTGTCTCATTCTTTTGTGTCTTCTCTACATATGTCCCTTCTGCTGACATTACATAAATAGACTCTAGTCTTCGACCTTCTATAATCGGAGTACCGGAGTACTTTAAATTCCGATACACTTTTACGTCTTTAGGACCAAAGACTACGTGGTTGCTAGAACTTGTCAATTGAAAGACTAACAATAGAATCTTCTTCATTCCAGGAACGTGATAGACATTCTGCAGCTGCACTTGATTAGGACTAAAGCGATGCACAATTACTGTGTTACTAATGTGAGTAATCGGCAACTTAGAGTTATTAACGGTCACAACAACTCTTCCTCCTTTATAGTTGGACATGATCTGCATTTTCTCTTTGTCGTCCGTCATATGGTTGGAGTAGCTTGAATCAACGATCCAATCATTGTTGTAATTTACGACTTACGAGTTTATGGCTGCAAGTGCCTTATCATTCGGTTCGACCAGGTCATCTTCCTTGTCGAGATACTCCTTTCCCTATGTGAAGTCAACAACCTTTGTTGTAGCGAATGATGCTTGAACATCCCACTCCTCTTCACTATCATCTTCATCTCAATGGCTCTTTGACGTCACCATGTTTCCTTGTGCTGCATTTTTTCTTCAACCAGCAATCTCGAGCGAACTAACCCTTGTTTCCACAATTGAAGCACTCATCACTTTACCGTGCACGTCGATCATCTCTTCCATGACCATGTTGAGCTCCCCTTGAGTTTGAGCTCCCTTGCTACCTTCGAGACTTCTTTTCTTCACATTTATTGCTACTGCGCCTATTTTCTTGGCTCCTTTTACTACCAAAAGTGTCTCCTCATTACGCAATTTGTTTTAAGAGAGGTTCTTGGTTTGCCAGTATATTTTCCATTTCATTTAGAGAAGGTTGAACTGGTCAACCTTGTATTGTCGTGATAAATCCGGTGTATTCTGGTTTTAAACTATTGCATATAATTTTTCTCATTCTATCTTCACCAATTTTAGCAGTTGTATCTAATTGCTCTATTTCACGGCACAAGCTTCTAACTTTTTGAAAGTAGTCACTAATAGCCTGTGTACCTTGTGATGTGATCATGAGCTCTCTCTCGAGCAGCTAAAGGCGAGCATCATTTTTCTTTGAGAAGAGAGCAGCAAGCGCGTCCCATACTTGTTTAGGTGTTTCCGCGTCTTCAATACGTGAAAGCGGACTTTTGTCTATTGTGGTCTAAATCACGTACAAAGCTTTCCCCGTTTTTATATTCCACTTCTTGATTGTCTGTGCATTCTCTGTTGGTGGTGAGTTGTCATCGCCATCAACGATATCCCATAAGTCCTGATCTCTGAGATAGGACTTAATACACTTCCGCCAATCTCGATAGTTATACTCGTTGAGCTTCTCCATACTGCTAGGAGCGCTGATTTAATCTGACATAATGACTTGGTTGTCCTCACATTCCAAGTAAGCTTTATCCCAGAAGCACAAGCTTCACAATCCTGAATTGTGCACGTCAAAGATCACCCTCAAACAGCGTCTCGAATACGGTCCCCGACCGACTGGCACACTCTCAACACAGGTCCTAATCGCCTGCGCTGATACCAAACTATTGGTTTTTGGAGAATACAACTATCTACACAAAGGGAACTTTTGTCTATAGAACACTAGAGAGTACAATACTTGCTCTTACAAGAACACCTCACTTTCACACAACTCTTTTATTTTGGTGGACACTCACACAAGCCTACACTACACACTCAAGCTCTCAAGCTCACTTCTTGCTTGCTTGCACAAATGAGAGCCCAAGACCCCTATTTATAGTTGCTTAAGTGGTCTAGGAAGTGTGTAGAAAAATCAATCCTAACTATACATTAGTAAGAAGTTTCAAGAAGAATAAATACTAGTCATACACTTGTACCTTCCTAGAAATTTTTTGGTAGATATTTTGTAGGATATTTCTAGAAAGAACTTAGAAAATTATTCCAGAACAATCTACGTTGGTGAGGAATTCTAACACCGTCAATGAGATTCCCAATAGCTTAGAGGTGTTTAGTACAATTATGAAAGTTCAGTGGATGGTTTGTGTTAAACCCCCTAAAGTCCAAGAGGATTTTGTGAAATTTACCCTAAAAAGAATTTGGAACACTCAGAAACTGTTCTACTATACAATGAACTAGAGAGATTTAAAAGGGAAAGACACATTAACTGAACTTACCTCTAGAGACTGTTTCCTGAAAGCAGGCTCGAATCGACTTTTGCAATATTTGTGAAAGCAAAATGTCAGTAGAGGCAAAGCGAGAAGTAATGGAGTGGAATATGCAGCCTTCTTTGTGCTGAGTAAACCGAGCAGAAGTATGTGAGATATTAGCAAGCTTATTACCATCTGGGTGTGAACATGTGGCCAAAATGCACCGGCACTTTCATATTTTTGATTATACACGTTAATTATCTGAAAACCACAAAGGAAAATCATAAGTTCCACAAGCTCGAAGTTTATACAGTAAGAATAATCTATATTTGCAGTACAATGTTACACTATAAAAAATGAAGGTTCTTTCTTTCTTGACAGACTCCGACATGCAGCTCCTCGATATGGAAAAACAGAATATAGTTTTAACGAAAAGTTGATTAGAAAAACAATAGCTGAAACTTACAAATTATTATATTAAAGGATAAAATACTGATGAGCAGGCTGTCAAAATTTCTGAAATACACCTATGAATTATAGCTTGCAGTATTTCTTTTTAGAATAAGAGCTGTAAATGAAGTTTTCATCTACAATGCCAAATAATCGACTATCCTAGAATGGCAGTATAAAGCAGGCAGTAGCCATAATAACAAGAGTTTGCAGCTCCAAATGGATGCAACCTAATAGTCTCACCATAGGTATTTAATTTATCTGACACTACAACTTCTTCAGCTAAACAGAAAAAGTATTAAGCAAAGCGAGATATGACTTATTTTATGCAGTAATTTACCTGATGTCTGTAAACAAGGTAGGCAAAGGCAAAGGAAACCAGTATAAATGGAAGAAGTATTGGGCTGACAACCGCATAAACAAGTCCAAGAAGAAAGTATAGCTGGATAGTTGGAAGAGTATCAGTAAGCTTAATGCGTGGAGGTTTCATTGCTTTCGCTCTATCTCTATCCGTTTTTACTAAAAACATGTTCTTAAGAGAATATATGACCAATGGCGTGATTCGAAGTATCTCACTGGCAATAGAAGACCATCCATCAACCATTATATATGTGATAAAAAATGTAGCCTTCATCGGTATTGATACACCAACAGTACTTGGAATCCTGTAAGAAAAAGACAGAAACAGGATTGAGTACAGAATCTGGCAAGTAAATTAGAGTAGAAACCTGCACACATAAAAAATATGTTGAGACCCAGAGAAGGTGAAAGTTTCATTTTTCGCATAAACGTAAGATAATTGGCAAATATAAGTATAATGTAAACTGAATGTATAGCATGCCAATAGATTTGAGTCCAGAAGAGATCAAAACCAATCCTTCCAAAATGCACACAAGCCTCTCATCTATCTGCACACACACACAACTTTAGGAGCAATTTATTGCCAAGGGATCAAATTAACTGAATAATCTTGCAACGCTGTGTAGTTTGAATTTATGGAAAAGGAAAAAAGAATAAATACAAGTGGTACATGTAAGTTTAGCAATGCAGCTTAGTGGTTCAACAAAAGGCGGCAGCCTTGGATAAGAAAATCCCTTTCAAAACTTAATTTATCTTGCTTCTAATGTATGACATGTATAATTTAGTGCAAACTTGTTGACTTTATTAATAAAAGTTGTGGAGTCATTGGAAAAGCGTTTATATTCTAAACATGAAACTATTCTAACTAGAAGAAATGTCAACATAGAGAGATCAACCAACAAAATAAGCACCAATAGTAGCCAGAAAGGAAGCAAAAGAGAATTACTGAGACGGTGGCTGATGAAGCAAAGATTTTAGTTGTTCAAAAGCTGTTCCGGTGACTATGCTTCCCATGAATACATCTATTACGATAAAGTAAAAATATAGATCTGCTGCCCTTCTTTCAAGTGCTGATAATGAGAAGTGTCCTTCAACTTTCGACATAATCATCAGAACTTTTGGAAGGATACACATGAAAATTTTTAAAGCTAGCCCAGGAAGAAATCCCTGTAAGAAGGATTTTATTACCTTCCTGCAATAAATAAACATGCATCGTCAGTGCATATTACATTTATGTATTGATTATGAAGACAATGTCCATAAATTTCATCCAGTGCAATTTCATAAAAGTAACTCATAAGAAATAAACTCAGGATGGTTACCCTTTCCTTAATGATCTTTTACGGGTGCAACTTTATAATAGAAGAGTGGCCATGTTAACAAAGATATGTTGGTTCTTGCTAATTTTCTTTAATATAGAAGGATCCTTGTAAGACTTTGGGCCTTTGGCTTCTATGTTGACCTTCTGTGCTTTCAACTGAAAGCAAGGACAACAATAGGCTTCTGAAGGGACATGCCAAATTATTATGGAACCATTTAAATCATGTAACATCTGAACTAATGTGTGCATTATCTTTGATTAATACATGCAGAATTTTGCTGCGTTAACACTGTCCTGTACGTATTCAGTATCAAGTGCTTAGCATACTCACCGACAAAGATTCCCTTAAATTCACAATTTTATCAAAAGATTATACAGCAGTCAAACAACGCTTCTCGAAAATGAACCTTCCCACTTATTTCTATAAGGAATACTAATTGCAAATGAGTATTTTCCACATATAGTTTAAGATGGTGATAATGAAGTGAATGTACTTATCCAACAAAATGTATTATATATTCATAGTCACCGTGAATATGGTCCATCAAATATAGGCGGAGAGTACTAAACAACTGAAGAATATATGATCTTAATACTTACTGTTCTACCACTGGCCTGAGGAAAGGAGCATACTTTTCAAGAGTTTCAAGATTTGCAATCGTTTGCACAAAGGCGATAGGGATCATGTAAAAGAATAAGAGTGCAAATGCTGCAACAGACATTAGTATCTTTCTGATGCCAAGAGAAACAAACGGTATAGCGAGATTCTTCCAATAGACATCACGTGGTTCAGGTGCCCAATATGTTAACCAGCGTGTTGGGTTCCTACTTTGTTGTGTCTGTGCACAAATAGCAGCAGCCCATCTTGAATCAAAGGTAACAAAAGCTACAGGAACCACGGCCTTGGGATTTTTAAGAACCATCTCCTTCTCAGCTGCCAACTGAAACAAAGACGTTGGTGAATTTTTTATATTAGTCCCTTAAATCTTTCATACTTTGAAACTAGTCCCGTAAATAATTGAAATTGCTATTAGGTCCCCAGTTCTTAAGTTAATTTGACATTAGTCCATTAAATCATTGAAATTGTTATTAAATCCATTAGTTCTCATAAATTGTTTCAAATTAATTCCTCTGAATGCTACTTCTACTCTTGACTGAACGTATTAATTTCAAAACATCTCAAGTAATAGGCGACCTAGTAGCAATTTCAATGATTTGAGGGATTAATTTCAAACTAAGTCGAGAATTGAGGGACGTGATAGCAATTTCAATTATTTTAATGACTAAGTTCAAAATATACAATATCTAATGGACTAGTATCGAAAAACGAAACAAAACAAACACCTGGAAAATTAATTCTTGGATGAGTGAAAACAACAACAAGGCTTTTATCCCAAAATTTTGGCGTCGGCTATATGAATTCTATTCGTCCATTCAGTTCTATGGAAGGTTACATGAAGTCCTTAGATAAAGATGTATCAGTATGATAACTGAAGGAAACAAATTGATCATTTATCAACTATTTGACATCAATACACTGAACATATATATATGTAAACATTGATATAAAACAGAGTTAAGTTTAAAAGACACACCTTCTTGTCCAGCTCTTTGATCCTCTCTTTGTAGGATTCAATCGAATCCACTCTTTCACCAAAAAGGCCGAGACACCTTTTCTGATATAAGATATAACCAAAAGAGTTAAATACTCTGGAAGAATAATAATATATTGCAGACACAGTCACATATACTATATTAGAAGAAAATTAACTAAAAAGTCGTCTTCTTCAGAGAAAAGGTTGAAATTGATTAACCTTTATGGTTGGCCTTTTATCTGGATTTCTCTCAAATTTGAGACAGTAATAGTCCAACCAGTTTTTGAGTTTTTTCTTTTTCTTCACAAGCTTTGCAAATTTGTTTGCATTGTATACAGCCTGAAAAATTTTGTATATTCTGGTTACAAATTCAGTGAGTATAAGCATTGAATTAAAAAAAAAAGAAATCAAAACATAAAAGAGTCATAGGAACTGTCAAACAAGACATTTTTTTATTCTTATAATCACTCTTCAAGTAAACATACTGGGAATTATAACGACGAAGCAAGAGATTAATTTCTACAAGTAGTTAAACACCTGGTGGCCTAGATAATGGTCAGGATGGTTCCTTTGAAAGTAATCATCCACACATTTTGATATTGTACCCCCAGTGATATGTGGGAAGTTTCTGACAAGGACCTACAAAAAGATACCCAAAAAAAATCATTTAGACATGATTACTGAGTCTAAAACTACCAAATAAATGTGACAAAGTTGAAGTGGTTAAAAAAAGTAAAGAAAATGATTGTTGGATTATACCTTCGTGTGGCCATTAAGTGAACATGTTTGTGTCACTCTATGCTTGGCTCGAGGTTACTTAGTAAGACGAATAAGTCAATGCATATCACTGAATTGTGTCTTTTTTCTTAGCTCAAAATAAAGTAAGGTGGATTATACTTAATTCTGATTTGTCACGTTATTATATCAGAGAAAGAATTAACTTTGACTGGCAAAATTGTCTGGTTTTCATTAATTAGGTTCGTGGTAGATTAAAAGCAGTTATATAGATGCATTTATTCAAATTTTTCTGTATAAAGGAGTTAAAACAAGGCAATATTTGCTATTATGGATGTGACATGTAATACCAACATTCAAAGTTCAGTCTAATCCAAGATGATCTCAAATCAAAATGGAACACTACAATATCACCTAGCTAACTTGAAGAAAAACGAGAGGAAAATGAATAAAGAACCTTCAATATCCTAGATAGACTTATAAAGCAGGGCAGACTCTAGTGGATGATTGTTGGGGGAGTTTGTAAGAATACAACAAATACTTACAGTGAATTGATCAGCACGTCGATGTTGCGATGCCTGAAACTGCAATCTTAAGGAGGCTATACTATCATACTCCTTATAGAGGCAAAAGCAAGTCCACATGGTGAGTAAGTACTCCAATAATAGGTGAACCCATAACCTAAAAGTTAACAAGTAAGGAATTAAGGATACAAACACGTTATCCTCAAACAAACAGGATGTAAACAAGTTAAAAAGGGAATTTGAACAGATGAAGACTAAAATTGTTCATAATGCTACATGGTAGATTCTTATATCAAAAGAAATTTGAAGCACTAGACATATGAACATCTATAATGGTGGATTTTTGTTTGATGGCCTTCTAAATTCCATATTACTCTTTCATAACTGAGGAGACAGAAGTGCATTTCACCACAAGTATAACATTTTTCTCTCGAATAACTATTCTTTTCACCAGACCATTCAACCAAAATCCAAGTAGCCTCTCATACATTCTATAGGGATGTCACAAATGGTAAATCATTTTGATTGTTTTCCAATATTTAATATTTTGATTCTATTTGATAAAAATTCGATGACTTTGACGTTCTATTCTTCAAAGATATAATAGGATGTACAATCAAGAGATTGTTGGAAGGCCATCGTTAAAATACACAAATGTTACTGTTAATTAGGGGCACAGTATAGTAAAAACAGACTAAACTTACAGTTTAGATCCAGCATCAACGTTTGATATTGAAAGCTTATCAATGTTGCTGAATACTATTTCTTTCTGAAGTTTGAGCAACGTCCCATGATACACGTTGACAGGAATAAGGACCAATAAAACTAGGATTGTTATGGGGAAAAATATCTTCAACCTGTCAGGAAAAGCAAATGAGAATCAAAATAAGCAACCCAAATTGAGAAGTAATAATTTTTTTCACATAGTGATGCATCCAAATATTTACATATGACTAACGAACTTCTTAACAAATGAACTGTGACATCAGAGTTACGTAGATGTAAACAAATAAATGAATTCACCTGCTACCCAATCCTCTCGTTCATCAAAATGAAGTATTTTTCAAATACACACAACTATTAATAACTATAAGAGCATCTACCAACTTTCAGTAGCAGTAGTATGGAGCATATTCATTTCCCAGTGGGTAAGCAGATATTAGCATGGGCACATTCATTACTAACTAATTTATATATACACTTCTACGTAGCAAAATAAGTTCTATTACCAGGTCGAGAATAGGGTTGAAGATGCATATTATGGATTTATGATATACATGCGCTAGTTGTATTCAAAATTTTGCTTGACCCTCAAAAAAGTGCATGTTTTTTTTCTCGTTTTTGGGTTACTAATGCACAATGTTATGACCTATCTGGGGTAAAAAAAAGTTTAGCTTCAGCTTATAATCCCTCTCAAGAAATTAATTTAGCACTCATGAGACGGTGTACTGGAAACTCCAAGGTCAAACTACAGGTATATGACAAATTTATATAGCTTTTTTCCAGGGATGGAACTACACATTTATTGTCTATATAGAACACACTGTACTACATGGATTCTGAAAATTTTCCTCCACTTTTAAAAGATGTACCTTTTTGAAGAGTTTTGGGTAAAATTAGGGTTAGTTCTCTCATAGAGAGGTACCCCTTTTATATTAGTGCATTCTTACAAATAGGTCCTTACAACATTGACTAATTACTATCTAAATAACTCAACACTCCCTCTCAAGATGGGCGATAGATATCAACCATCCCCATCTTGTTACAAAAGATATCATACTCTCTAGAACCTAATCCTTTTGTTAAACAATCAGCTAGCTGCTCTTCTGATTTCACATAGCTCAAAGTCAGAGCTCCTCTATTCAGTTGTTCCTTGATAAAGAACCGATCAATCTCTACATGTTTGGTGCGATCATGCTGAACTGGATTGTTTGCAATATTAATCGCCGATTTGTTATCACACCAAAGTTGTAAGGAGTCTCTTCTAAACAAGTGCAGCTCAGATAATATGTTTTTGACCCACATCAACTCGCACAGACTAACTGCCATGGCCCTGTACTCGGCCTCAGCTGTAGACCTAGCCACCACATCTTGCTTCTTGCTACGCCAAGATACGAGGTTACCTCCAATAAATACACAGTAGCCTGTAGTGGACCTACGATCATCCATACAACCTGCCCAATCAGCATCACAATAGCCTTCAACTCTCAAATGTCCAGAACTTCTGAACCACAACTCATTTCCTGGGCTTCCCTTAATATATCTAAGAATTCTGCGAACTGCTTTCATATACTGCTCTCTGGGATCATGCATATATCTACTCACCACACTCACAGCATGTGTAATATCAGGTCTCGTGTGGCATAGGTATATAAGTCGTCCAACTAATCTTTGATATTGCTCTTTACTCACTGGGTTACCACCCTCAGCACACATCTTATGATTCTGCTCGATAGGAGTAGATGCAACTCTGCACCCCAACATCCCTGTCTCTGAGAGAAGATCCAGAGCATACTTCCGCTGAGAAAGCACTATACCCTTTCGCGATCTTGCAATTTCAATTCCGAGGAAGTATTTCAACTGTCCCAGATCTTTAACTTCAAATTTCTCTCTTAATTTTTTCTTCAACCGTAGGATTTCTTCAGCATCATCTCCAGTTATAACAATATCATCAACATAGACCGTCAGAATGGTGATACGAGTTTTAGAGTGCCTGCAAAACACAGTATGATCCCCATTGCATTGCTTGTACCCCATACTGCAGACTGCCAACCTGAATCTGTCAAACCATGCCCTCAGAGACTGTTTTAACCCATACAAAGACTTCTTCAACTTGCACACCTTCCCAGCTACTTGAGAAGTAGTGAAGCCTGGTGGAATCTCCATATACACCTCCTCCTGAAGATCTCCATGCAAAAAGGCATTCTTGACATCTAGCTGATGTAGTGGCCAATTGAAGTTGGCAGCACATGACACCAACACTCTAACAGTGCTCATCTTTGCTACTGGAGCAAATGTCTCGTCATAGTCAATGCCATACGTTTGGCTGTAACCTTTAGCAACTAATCTGGCCTTGTATCTATCGATCTTGCCCTCTGGAGTTTGTTTAACCGTATACACCCACTTACATCTAACAGCACGCTTCCCAGCTGGCAAAGGTACCAGCTCCCATGTATCATTCTTCTTCAAGGCCTGAAGTTCCTCTTGCATGGCACTCAACCATCTAGGATCTTGCTTAGCAACCTGCCAGTTGTTAGGTACAGGCACTGAATGCAATGATGCAATGAATGACTTATATGCAGGTGAAATGGATGCATATGAAATGTAATTCGCAATGTCAGTATCCCAACTACCAAACTTAGTTGGAGGTTTTCCAGCATTGACTCTCGAGGTTCTACGAAGCAAGATAGGAGTATTAGAAGTATCAGGGAAGAATTTGTTACCTATCGACTCAGGTGGAGAAGATGAAGAAGTCACTGGAGAGGAGGGACTTGGGGCATCAACATTTGTGGGTACTGGCATAGGCACAGGAGGCGGCTCATGCTGCTGTTTCTGTCTCCTCGTGTATACTCTCAGCTCCCCTGACCTTGACTATCACCTCCTGAGTCGCCACCACTACTCGGCAGTGTACCATCACTGCTCGGTGACTCAAGAGGACATAGAATCATCCCAACCACAATGTCATTCTCATTTTCATTCTCATTCTCCCCCTCTCTACTAGCATCAGTAGAGCCATCTCCAAACAAGGAACTCAACTCCGTCTTCTCCCCATAAAAAGGTTCAAACTCCCGAAAAGTCACATACATACTGACAAACAACCTTCTTTCAGTGGGACACCAACACTTGTACCCTTTTTGGCTTGATGAGTAGCCAATAAAAATACATTTAACTGCTTGCGGATCCAGTTTACTCACCATCAATCTGTGATCTCTCACATAACATGTGCATCCAAACACTCTTGGTGGAACAACAAAAATATTCGAGCCCAAGAGCATCTCACATGGTGTCTTCATCCCTAATATTCGTGATGGCATCCTATTGATCAGATAAGCTGCTGTCATAACAGCCTCACTCCATAAAAACTTAGGCACATTCATTGTCAGCATTAATGAGCGTGCCACTTCCAGTAGATGTCTGTTCTTGCGTTCAGCCACCCCATTCTGAGCAGGGGTGTCTGGGCAGGTGGTTTGATGAAGGATTCCCTGACTAGAGATGAAAGCGACAAACTTCTTGTTGACATACTCAGTCCCATTATCTGTTCGAAGAATCTTCACCTGCACTCCAAACGGTGTCTTCACATAGGCTGAGAAATCTTAAAAACATTTGCAAACCTCAGATTTCTGTTTCATCATGTATATCCAGACCATACGTGAATAACAATCAATGAAAGTAACAAACCATCTAAAACCACTAATAGAGGTAGTAGGACATGGTCCCCAAACATCAGAATGGACAAGAGCAAATGGTTCAACACTAATAGAGGTAGTAGGACATGGTCCCCAAACATCAGAATGGACAAGAGCAAATGGTTCAAAGCTTCAAAGACCAATCATTCTATAAGTAGAACGAGTATGTTTTCCAAGTTCACAAGCATTACAAAATAACTCTTTTCTATTCACTTTCTTCATTAACTCAGGTTCTAACCTATTCAAACTATCAAAAGATAAATGCCCTAACCGACAATGTTGAAGCATCGCTTCTGTCTCTGGCCCTCCGCTAACAGCAGCAGCAATCATTACAGTCTCCCTGTCCAAGTACCAAAGACCATCACGCCTGATGCCAGTCCCAATCCTCCTCCCAGTTTCCTTCTCCTGAAAGACACATATCTCGATCAAATAACACAGTGTAATTTAATTGATCAATGAGAGAGCTAACAGAGAGTAAGTTAACTGGAAACGAAGGAACATGCAATACAGATGACAAGGTAACAGATGAAGTGCAATGGACCGAACCAGTACCCTGATGGGTTGAGATGTCCCATCAGCAGTCTGAACTGTTTTAGGATGCATATGCTTACTCGGATAATATAATGCAAACTCACTAGATGCTCCTGTGACATGCCTAAATGCACCTGAGTCTATGATCTAATCAACATGAGTTTTAGTGGATGCAAGTGCCTGAACCTGTGTACCTTTGTTCGCATGAGCATAACTAACAAAGTTACCAAAGCATGTAATGTTATCCAGATCCTGAGTAACTTGTCCCTTGCCCTTCGAACTCTCAGCCTGAAGCTTGAACAGACGTAGTTCCTCCAGCTCTGTTATTTCAGCCCCAGTCATCCCAGCAGTAGTCTGGAACTCCTCTGCCACAGCTAGATGAGCAACTCCTCGGCCTCCACGTCCCCTGCTTCCTCGACCTGCACGGCCACCTCTCTGTCCTCTGCCCCCTCGGTTGCCACCAGTGTTGCGGGGTTGAGGGCAATTGTAGCTGAGGTGCCCTTTCTTTCCATAATTATAACATTCTCTATCATCTCTGATGTGAGCACCTGGAACCACTAATGCCGAGCGGACAGCAGGTGAGGCCTCACCTGTCATCACCTTCTGTCTGATCTCCTCTTGTTCCATCGATGCAATAGCCTCATCCAAAGAGGGGAGAGATGACAGATGACACATTGCTGCCCTCCTTCCCTCAAATTTTGGGTTCAGACCCTTAAGAAAGCGAGCCACACGTCTGCGCTCAAGATACTGTCTCCCCAAAAGAACATCTGCTGGGTTTTGTAGTGATAACGGGTCATAGTGATCCAAATCTGCCCATAAGTGACGTAGCTCTACTGCATACTGATGCATTGTCTTCTCCCCTTGTGTGGTAGCATCAATCTTCTCTTCCACTTCCATCATCATCATCACACTCCCAGCTCCAGAGTACATCCCCTCCAATGTCTTCCAGACATCAGATGCACTCGAGATAGACTCCACCATCCCAGCTATGGTTGGAGACACAGAAGTCAACAACTAAGAAACCACAAGAGAATTAGTGTTACTCCATGTGTTCCACTCAGCACCCGCCTTATTCTCCGGCTCAGTGCACTCCCTCTTCACATACTTTTCAAGTCCTTTGATTCGAAGGTTCAACAATGCCCTCCGAGACCAACTCAGATAGTTTCTTGTCCCCTCAAGCTTGATGTCATTAGGCAGCAACTTTACTCTCTCCATTACCTGCACCGACTCCGACGCGGTCACGACTGACCTACTAGAATTCTCCTCTAGTTTGGTCTGAAATACCCTGGTCACCCCCTCCAGGATCTTCTTCAATTCCTGACTAGTCACAGATGTTCCCATCTTCACAGTTGACTGCCCTTATCTCAAACTCCACACAGAATCAAGATCAAACACAACTCAACTAATATGCAATCACGACTTTCCATCTACTTGCACAACCCAACACTGCCATTATCTCAACCACCAATTCATGCTCATCTAAAAACACTACAATAATCAGCCCCCAAAAGAAAAATGACTTGAGCAAAAAAACCCTTCGTCTCCCTCAATCACCAAAAAAGGACGAAAAGAAAAAGGAGAACAAAACGAACCCAACGGAGCTGAAGAGGGTCTCCCAGATGTTCGACCGCAACGGCGACGGGCGGATAACGAAGCAGGAGCTGTCCTCCACCCTCGACGAACCTAGGGCTTCACGAGAGCTGCCCTCCTCCCTCGACGAACCCAACGAAGCAGGAGCTTTCCTCCTCCCTCGACAACCTAGGGCTTCACGAGAGCTGTTGACCAGAGATCCCAAATCGGCGACCCTAGGGTTTCCTCGATTTCAGAGGCTTGAGCCGCCACCTAGGCTCTGATACCATGAAGAGTTTTGGGTAAAATGGGTTTCCTCGATTTCAGAGGCTTGAGCCGCCACCTAGGCTCTGATACCATGAAGAGTTTTGGGTAAAATTAGGGTTAGTTCTCTCATAGAGAGGTACCCCTTTTATATTAGTGCATTCTTACAAATAGGTCCTTACAACATTGACTAATTACTATCTAAATAACTCAACACTTTTTTTTTACCTTTCTACTAATAAAAATGAGTAAAGGGCACAACTCACCCCTAAAAACTAGATGTTAGAGAGATAACCGAAATTTCTTATAAACCCACAATTGACTTCTCATTTAGTTAATGCGGGACCATCGCACTTCCACTTTGGACTGGTTTAGTTCGGATCCAACATTGCACTTTATATTCTTAAATATAAAACTATAACTCTGAATCCTCATGGCAATTTTAGAGTTTTAGTATACTAGCATGGTACTTTAAGATGTTGTTAGAGCAACCGGGTTCAAATCCTACTAGCCACAAAATTTAATGCAAATTTAAAGAAGGATAAAGTGGTTCTGTTGGCTAAATCACAACTTTGAAATTTTGATGCAGTGGCAGGGATCTCGCTACAACTTCAAAGTTTTGATGTAGTAGCAGGTTCCAAGCCGGAACAAGGGTGCATAACGAATTTACCCTAGTGCAAGCAATTCATTTCATACAATCTCAACATTTAATACAAAAACGAATACATATATACCCGAGAATGTAGATCCTGAGAAAAGCAAAAGAATCGAACCCTGCGTGCTCGACCAACTCCTTCTCCCTCATCATCAAAGCCTTGGGCATCCAATTGAACACAGTAAAATACGAACACAAATTCAAATTCACGAACTTCCCAACGGAGGAATTCTTCGTCCGGTTCTTCGCCGGGCTCGATCTTTGGCCGAGAACGTACCATTTCGAGAAGTAGACTCGGTCGTTGGCGGGTTGAATCCTTAGAAATGCGAATGCTAGGAGAAAGATGAATGTAGTGACTAGGTTCGTTAACGCTGAAGCTCCGATCTCTTTTAGAGAATCCAAGCCCATGCTGATGAAAAGTTAGGGTTTCTGAGAGTTTTAGTGCAAGAAACGGTGCTCAGAGGTGTTTGGGGGGTGGCGGAGCGGAGAGTGGTGTGAGATGTGTTTGCGGAGTAGGTTAAGGACAATGAACGGGTGGATGAATAAGCAATGGTAGAGTGACGTGTGATGTGAGGAGGGAGTGGTTTTGTTTAAGAGTACTCTGCGGGTTTAGTGGCAGAAATAAAATCCCTAGAAAATGGGAATAACGTATCAACATTGGACCAATCGAAAACGGAGGCGCTGGTAATTTCCGAAAGTGCCCTTAAAGCAATAAATTTTAGGTTATTTGCCTATATACCCCCAAATTATCCATAATTGCAAATTTACCCTTCAAATGAGCTGGGAGCCTCCTTTCCTCTGTTATCTACTCCTCTGTACAAATGAGTGAACCCAAGATTTACTATTCATGCTACAGTAAATGCTACAATAATATTTACAGCAGCATTATTACTGTAGTAAATAAGAAAATGGACACTATGTATTTTTTGAAAAAATATAACTATAGCACACGACTGTAGTAGAGGCGAAATACTGTAGCAATTCAAAAATATTATTGTAGCAGTTAAACCGGGATAACTGTAGCGGAAAAAAAATATATGTCTTGCTTTGCATGGTGTTCACACTAGTATATATATACTAGTGTGCACCTTGTGCTAAGCACAACCCCTTTTTTTGTTTCTGCTACAGTAATTATATTTTTAAATGCTACAATAATTTTTAATAAGGTACAGTAGTATTTTTAAATGCTACAGTATTCCTCCTATAAGTATGAATAGTGAATCTTTAGATCCTCCTATAAGTGTATACTAGTGTGAACACCGTGCAAAGCACGATATATTTTTTCCCCAGCTACAGTAATCCCGGTTTTAACTACTACAATAATTTTTTGACTTTTTCGAATAGCTACAATATCCCGCCTCTACTGCAGTATTCTCATGTGCTACCGTAATATTTTTCAAAAAAATCTACGGTGCTACATTGTAGATGATCCTCTCCGTTGAACTTGATCTATATATTCTAAAACCCTAACACACCAAGTTTGGGGTGAACCCATCGTCATTTGACCCTCCGTCGAGCCATGTGAAAAGTTTTATTCATTCTAAACCGTTAAAATCAATACGAGTGGATGAATGCTCAAACGACGACGGATTCACCCCAAACTTAGTGTGTTGGGGTTTTAGAATATGTAGATCAAGTTCAATGGAGTGGATCATCCACAATATAGCTCAATCATATGATTTTAGGCCGCGTTCTTAGATGATTATCTAAGGCGTCACCTTAGGAACACTTCTATATATATATATATATATATATATATATATATATATATATATATATAGAAGTGTTCCTAAGGTGACGCCTTAGATAATCATCTAAGAACGCGGCCTAAAATCATATGATTGAGCTATATTGTGGATGATCCACTCCATTGAACTTGATCTACATATTCTAAAACCCCAACACACTAAGTTTGGGGTGAATCCGTCGTCGTTTGAGCATTCATCCACTCGTATTGATTTTAACGGTTTAGAATGAATAAAACTTTTCACATGGCTCGACGGAGGGTCAAATGACGATGGGTTCACCCCAAACCCCCCAATCCAAAAAGGAGATCCCTTACTCTGTTGAGTTTGTTGCTATTTATAGGGGGATTAGGGGTGTAACTGCCCCCATAATCCGCGCCTAAATGGGGGTTTAGTTACCCCATTAGTCGGGTGTAACAACCCACTAAAGCCACTCCTCAAATCGTGGGTGAAGAACAGCTTCGAAGTTGTTACGATCACGTTTGAATGAGTCAGAACCTTGACCTGCGTTCTGGCGGTGATTGAGCTGCGTTTGGCAGCGACTGACGGGCTGCGTTGGGCAGTGATGGATGAGTTGCGTCGGCAGCGGTTGATAAGCTGCGTTGGGCAGCGATTGATAAGCTGCGTTGGGCAGCGATGGATAAGCTGCGTTGGGCAGCGATGGAGCTGCGTTGGGCAGCGATGGAGCTGCGTTCGAGCTGTGCTTGGCAGCGATTGGAGCTGCGTTGGGCAGCGATGGAGCTGCGTTCGAGCTGTGCTTGGCAGCGATTGGAGCTGCGTTCGAGCTGTGCTTGGCAGCGATTGGAGCTGCGTTCGAGCTGTTGATTGTTGTAGTATTTAGATTTCTCTGTCTTTATATATGGATGACACCAAAGACCAGTAAAGAAGGTCTTATTCAGGCCATTTGTGACAATTGAGGCATCTCAATAACGCTCTATCAACTGCAGGTCATGATCTCCACTGAGTGTGTCGAATATCATTACACTGCTCATCAGCACCTCTAATGGTTGCTAACATGATATCAGTCATGTTGTTGTCGCAGCCATCAAGATCAATCATCTCACATAAGAAGCTGCATTCGTGTTTATAGCTGTTGAAGCGGCGTAGGTGATTGAATCGGTGTAGTGTCTTGATGATGATACGCGGGGAGGACTTCCACGTCTTGGTTTGAAGAGATCGTCGATTTGTAATCCTTTCTGTCAGAGTATTGCTAAAGACTGTCGTTTTGTAATCTTTGCTTTAACTCTTTGACATGTGAAAGTCTTCGAATTGTAGCCTTCTGGAAGTCGTCAAATTGTAACTTCCATCATCGGTGTTTGATGAGGATCAGCTATCTATTATGATTTTTAGACAGCCTACAGAACCCCCTCCAAAGTTTTTGAAAGTTCGCGGTTGACTGGGACGAATTTTCGAAACACTTTGGATCTCAACTTTGATCTTGGAGCTATTGATTCCTTGTGGTAAAGGATTTGTTCTCTGCACTTGCTTCGAAGGCATCTTGG